TCTCGCACATGATAACATGGTTAGAACCATTATTATCTGTTCTTTGTGGTTATCAAGGAGCATGTGACGTGATTGTTGATTAACCATCAGAAGTTGTAGGACTTGGATTTCAAAGATGAGTCTAAATATATATTCTGTTTCTTTTAGATCATTCACTGTTCTTTGTCGTTGTTACTGTCTTTTTGAATCTCCCACCTTACTCTAGGCAACCGAAAGAATGAGTAGCAGGTTGTTACGTTTGGTTAGAGCTCATTTTTTATTTTCAGTTTTTCAGGCAGGCATTACAGTCATCTACAGTCATTTACAGTCATGTACGACTGCGTGATAAAGGATGCTACAACGACGACTAGTTTCGTAGCTGCTCGCGCTGTTGAGGAGACTTGGAAGTCGATCGTAAGTCCAAGTAGTCACTTTTTCAATTTTATTATTATATTTGCAGTGGGCTCAGATCTGTTCCCTGCTTCTTCGCCTTATTCGATGTTGTTCCGGAAGTGTATGAGCAGCAGGTAAAATCTCTGTTTGAGCTGAATGTAGTTCCGCGTCTTTAGAATTACAAGAAAGAAAGTGATCTGCGGCTGATGGTAGATGATAGGAACAACAGGATTCCTTTTGCAGTTCCTTCCCAATGCACTACATTGCTACAGGTTAGATCTTCATTGCGTTTTTTTCAGTTGGTGAGCTCAGTAGCGACTGGTTTATCATTTGTTCCCGCCAGATTGAGTATTCAATGATTTTGATTGGAACAATTTATTGCCCAGGGTTAGTCTTATGATATTCATGTTTGTCTCATTTCAGGAACAAATGAAAAAAAATTATGCGATTTGGACTAGTTAGAGCGGAGTTATGAGTTTCTACCTACTGTTGAGTTATTGACACCGCTCACTCCAGAAGGAAGTTGAGAATGAAATTTGTACGAGTTCTATTCCGTGCTTTAACACACGACCGCGAACTAATCTTTCAGATGATAAATGAAAGCTCCATTTGTAAAAATGCAAATATATGGAGCGTTGGCGCTTCACATACCATAATAAGTCGAAAGGTTGTAACTCAGCGCAAACTTCACCTTTTTCAGATCTTTTTTTTTTTATTCGATCGTCAGGGGCAACTGGAGATACTGCAAGACGGGAAGAGTTCTGTAGTCGAATGTTATACTTCCTATGGGAGGAAAGGCGAATAAATCTCAATGTTATTCATATTTTCGTTGTTTTAGAGACTATTGTACTGATAGAAGGGGAGGAGGACGTCAAGGACGGGTTGATATTTCAATCGTGAGTCTCATTATGTATATTTCTTTTAGATGATTAACTGTTATTTCGTTCTGAACCTCCTGACCCTATGCAACCAAGGGATTGAGTAGCAGGGAGTTACGTTCGGTTGAAACTCAGTTTTTCATTTTCAGATGTTTAGCCAGGCAGAACAGTCATCTACTATTGTTTGATCCAGGATGACTTTTAGTTAATCGTTATCATTTTAGTGGATTCAGATGTGTTCACCGCTTCTTTGTCTTGTCCGAAGTTGTTGAAGTGAATGAGTAACAGGTAGGATCAAGGGTGGAATTGTATATAATTCTCTGTGTTTACATTTAAGGGTAGGGGATTAATCTGTTACTATGAGGTGGAGGATAAGAACAAGGACGATGGAGTGCAAGGATTCCGCTTTGCTTTTCCTGTTAGAAGCTTCACATAGATGAGATGCAGGTCTGATTGAGTGCTAAGT